CTAAATTTTCCAATGAAAACTAAAAACGAAAAACGAAAACTGAAAAGGGAAAACGAAAAACGGAAAATGAAAACTGTTTTTCCGCAACTAAACGCAACCTAAATAATTTTAAAAAAGACAATGGACAGGTACAAAACTCTTTCAATAATTTCATTTAAATTAACACGTTTTTTTCTGTATTATGATTATTCATAACCCTTTAAAACAAATATTGTTTAAAGGATTTTAGGGCAAACCGACAATTTTACTTAATTTATTTACAGATATGTCGTTTTAAATTGTCTAATATATTTATCTCATTGGAACACAATATTCCTGGCTCTTCTCCAAACGCACCGTCCACGCAGTTTAAAATCTTAACATACGCATCCGGCATCTCTTCCCATATCCCCATGCACCATCTACACATGTTTCGAGCATAAATCCTCGGATTATTTTCTTTTCTACTAATTAATATTCTATTTTATTGCATCTCAAAAGTCTATAATCTGTATGTACATAAAATGTGATACCAAATGTTTAAACCACAAATTACGAGAAATCCAGTGATGCATAAACCCATACAGTAACAAAGGAATCTGAAATTAAGTACAAAAAAACAAAAAAAAAAAAAAATAGTACCACAATTCTTCTCCTGAGTCTTGAATTAGTTTATTGTCATCTAATTGCTCCAAGCATATTCGCACCATCCAGCTTTGCGCCTTCCAAATGCTGCAAATATATATATTAGTTAAAAATCAACAAAACATATTCACAAATGCATATGGATTAATTTCTCACTAATATTTGTATTTTTAGCCAAAATGTTGACCTAAGAAAGTCAAACTTTTTTGTTTTTTTTTTTTTTACAAAACATATTCACAAAAAAGTATGTTGCTATTTATGACATATTGATGATACTTACTGTGCCTCGAAGATTGACCTGGCGCAGATACGCACGTTGAAGGTTTGCCCCCTTTAAATTCGCATTCGTCAATTTCGCACCCTAACATAACAAAAACATGAAGGAGTTGAAAGATGAGGGAAAATTCGTCATTTTACATGAATTTACCAGTCCCACCGTTAAGTTAATCGACCCAGGGACCAAAAGGGAGAGAAAGAAAGATTTTAGGGACGTAAAATGTAAATTACCCAATGTTCAATATCTAATTATCTATACCTTTAGATTGGCTCCTTCCAGATTTGCTCCTTCCAAATTTGCATTTGTAAGATCAGCAGTTTGAAGATGGGCAGAGCGCAGGTCTGCACCGCAGAAGCTACAATCTACTAAGCAAGCATCTGCAAAAAAAAATTAAAATAATTTTTATATTTCAAATCAATAAAAAAATTAACTAATAAATAAATAAAAGAGAGATTTTTGCCTTGTAGATTTGCACTCTGAAGATTAGCTCCAGCCAACAAAGCGCCACGTAGATTTGCCCCTGTGAACTCACATCTTCCCCAGGCAAGACAAAATCAGTTGAGTTGACTAGTAATGGAAGAGGGTTTGACTATCGGGTTGATAAAAGGTAGCCATATAAAAAAGCGAATGAAGATTGTTTACATATATAATTTTGTACATAAAAGAAAAAAGAAATAATATGTTTGCTGAATCTTACTCACGCAATGTTGCATTGTGAAAAATGGTATTTTCAGCATCAACATCCTGGAATCAAAAATAGAAAGATAGTTAGTTGTACATCAATATAATAAATAAAAGATTAACTATCAGACAATTTGGCCATGTTTTGAAAGTGATTATTTATTGTTGAATAATCAGAATCACATAACCAGCTTGTAATATAATGGGCTGCAGGAAATAGTTTTTGGACATGTTTCTTTTAATAACCAGATAATTAGTTGTTTGAGTGTTTGGAAAATTTTGATAATCTAAGAAATAATAGATCAATGGCAAAAAAGGACATTCTTTTTTACTTAATGAGCTTTATGGGTTAATTTAATCTGGACACCTATATATACATGGTTGTTTTTTTCTGACTTAATCTGAATAGAATGACTTAATGGGTTAAGCCAGAAAACTGTCTTCATGTATTAAGACATCAACACTTCACCTATTTTCCCTTCACATTTTTTTCCACCAAACTACTTTTACATTAAAATTGATGAATATGAATATTGTGAAAACTATTTGTTGGAATGTAAGGTAAAATTATCAATTACCATTCAGACAATTCATCTATACATGACTTAATGGGAAAAAAAAACCCTAAGTCACATATAAATTACCCGAAATTTTGCACAATGAAGATTAGCACGCGAGAAGAAAACATTTTTCAGGCAAGCATAGCTGAAGTCCACAAATGACAAGTCCTGCAAAAGTTGTAATGGAAGAGTTTAGATCAAAAGAGCCAAAATATGTGTTTTTAGTACCATATGCCGTATGACCATGTGATTCATAGCAATAAACATATTGAAGTTTTATGTGATACATGATTTAACAACAAATTTTTTTCACACAAAAAGTTGTATTTGATCATACCAGTTTGGAAAGATCGAGGCCAGAGAGATTTACTCCTCTCAACCTAACTTTTTCAGATTGTACACATTTGATGATATCAGTACGTGTTAATTCAGTATCCATTTCTTCATCCTCTTTTCTCTTATTCAAGACCTCAGTGATCCCATCTACTAATCCCTGAATTCATGGTATATAATATAACAGCCAGTCAAATTTTGCAAAGGGGGAGTTGATAATAATAGAATCATAAGGTCATTTCAAAGAGGAAAGAAAAGGAATGACTTACAAGAAGCTGATAGTATTCTGCCTCCCGCAAAAGCTCTGAACATTCTAAATCTGACAAATTGGGAACTACACCATCTCTCAACCAATTTAAAACATGCCGAAAGTGTTTCCCATCTCTATCAACAAATACATACCCCTGCAGATCTTAAAGTAGTCAAAGCATGTCCATTGACAATTCTGTAGCAGATGAAAGTCTGCTTGTTTGCAGTTTAAAAGGCTTGAGAAGTTTAAGGACCTACTGGCATGCAAACATGACAGATTAAACAAGAGATATACCCCCACAAGGCCTGGTGCCCATGGCACTAACAAAAAAGGAGAGAAGAAAATAAGAAATGGTCCAATATTATATTACTCATCAAACTTTAACCGAAGATTTTGGAACATCACCATGGCAAACATACTTGTCATCAAAAACTGAAAAAAAACACATAAGGTGTTGTCTATCTGTGTACATACTTACCTTCTCAGAGTCCTTACAAACAGTGTGGCGACCACTGAACATTGCAGCTAGCATTGAATGAGGCTCACGCTGAGTTAGAGTATCAACAGTTGTGCAGAATTTCTTTCCCCCTGTCATGCCAATAATATTAAATCAACAACTGAAATGATCACATCCAGCTTAACTACATAACCGACAAGACGATCTCTACAGGAATCTACAATTTTCACACACTCCATATCTTATAGAGTATAGTATGCTTGGATCCCCACTCCCATGGTCCAGAATCGGACCAAATTCAGTTCGAATTACTAACCAATTCAGCTCCTAAACCTAAATTTCGGATTCCACACTCCAAAACATTACCGACACTTATAGACAAATACTATCCGCTTTCTCGATGATAAACAATAAAAAACTAATGATCAGATGGGAATAACCGATTAACTCAATAATCTCAACTGATAATTTAATTAATCGATCAATTCGGAGGGAAATTACAGCGGATTACAAGTAAATTAGGAAATTGCAGACCAAGTTAGATGAATTTACTACCTATATTGAGACGAACAATCGAAGAAGAGTTGTCGGAGTACATCGTCATGGCTTCACTGAGATAATCGCAGTCCAGACAATGGGGGTTAGAATTTAGAAAAATCGAATTTACTACCTATTTTACATATCGGCTAAAGTGCTAAACCCACTGATGAAGTTATCAATAATTCTTAAAATGGCCCCTCTAATTATTTTTTCTGCACAATGAAAAATAATCAGATTTAACAAACCGGTTTTTAAAACGGGGATTCATAAAATTGACCGATTGTTAATGAATTAGCCGGTTTACCTGGATGTCCCTCATCTTGTCTTGATCTTATAGTTTTTATAATTTTTCTACATCAATATAATATCATAATCTTTCAAAAGTGGTCTTTCCTTACCATATCAACAATTACTTTATCTATTTTAACATATATATATATATATATATATATATTAAATATTAAATATTAATATCAAGGTTGTCAAGATCAAGATCCTACCTACGATCGTTTTTAGGTTTGCAAGATCGGGATCGTAAGATCGGGATCGGGACCCTAAGATCCCACAAAATAAATTTTAATTTTAATTTATAACTTTAATCATGAAAAATATTTCAAACATTCAATTTTTGTTAAAAAGTTATAAAAACTTCAAAATATTAGTCATAAGTCACAAAACAAAATGATAAATGGTAAATTGGTAAAGAGTAAAAGACATAAAGCATTAAAAAAAATTCATTTGCAAAAAAAAAAAAAAAAATAAGGGAAGGTAGGATCGGATCGGATCTCGATCCTACGATCCTACCTGCAATCCTACCCCAAATACGATCCGGATCGTTTTTCATACCTAGGATCGTACGATCGTACGATCAGGATCGCGATTTTGACAACCATGATTAATATTTACTCAATAATAAATAAACATAAATTTAATTACAAGGCTTTAAATTCTTAATTGTTTTCTTAGTTTATATGTAATAAACATATATTTGATAATGGATATAGACAATTTATATATGGTAGTAAATGAGAATAGTTTATTTGTATTGGGAAAAAGTTTTATTTAAAAAAAAAGTAAAGTAAAATCTTGAAAATAATATCTTTTCCAACCCACTATCACATCATCTCCATATCAGTTTTCTCTCTCTTATTTTTCAACTATCTTTCTCAACCCACAACACATAGAAATAACATATTTTCCAACTCATTCAACTCATTCAATTAAAAAATACAAAACAACATAAGGTACAATTTCTTAAGCCTATGGTACAAGAGAAAAAGTGAGAGAGAGAGAGAGAGATTAGAAAGAGGGGTTATGTTCGGATTCATCAACCTATTGAAGAGAGGAAATGAACGGTATCACATGGTAGCTCTTGAAGGTACCCCGGTACCTCCAACTCAATCCTTGTGAAGCCGAGTCACTCCCTCTTCCCTAAGGGAGGGATGAGTCATTCCCTTCCAATCCACTCAACCCACTGCCACATCAACTCTACATCATATTTTCTCTCTCACCTCTCTTCCATCTTTCCCAACACACAACACATGGAAATCTTATATTTATTAACACACTCAACCCACTAAATTAAAAACAAAAAATACAAAACAACTAAAGTACAAGTATTAAAGCACATGGTATAAGAGAAAAAGGAAGAGAGAGAGAGAGAGAGAGAGAGAGAGAGAGAGAGGAAGAAGAGGAGGAAGCGGTTTAGTGAAACCAGAAAAACAACCTACTACTCCCAACCCTCCCAACCCACTGAGGAGGGAGTGGTGTCTTGGAGGTACCAGGGGTACCTCCCTTCTTTTTACCACGACTCTGTCCCCTTAAGGGAGGAGGGAGTCCTTCCTTCCCAACCCATTCAATTCACTGTCACATCAGCTCAACATCAAATTTTCTCTTTAATTCTTCTCACTTCCATCTTTCCCAACCCACAATACATGAAAATATTATCTTTTTCAACTCACTAAATTAAAAAAATACAAAACACCTAAAATACAAATCATAAAGCACATGGTACAAGAGAGAGAGAGAGAGAGAGAGAGAGAGAGAGAGAGAGAGGAAGCGGGTGTCTTGGGGGTACCAGGAGTACCTCCCCCTTTTTTTTCATGACTTCGTCCCCTAACAGGTGAATATCATTCCCACTTCTAAGGTTGCATTTGGTTGGCAGGATTAGAATGAAATTCAAGGGAAAAGGATTCCAATTCCCTCTATTTCCTGCATTTGGTTGGAGTTTAAAGGATGGAAAAGGATTCCTAAATGAAAAACTTTCCCTCAAATGGTGGACAATACATTCCTTCTACCACTTAACGGAATCAATTCCTTAGCAACAAGGAAAATAAAAGATTACCATTTTGCCCCTTTTATTTTTAACAAAATCGACCCAATAAACCAAACCCTATTATCACGTCATTCTTTTCACAGCCGACACCAAGCCCAGGCTTCGTCTTCTTCATTGTGCCAGGTTAGTTCTTCATCTCGTTCTTTATCACTCTTGTTCTCTATCATTCTCGTTCTTTCCTCTCTTATATGTCTTAATCGTTGGTTGAACCCATCGACTTCTCGTTGTTTCCTTGCTGTGAAAATCGAATGTGTTAATTTTCTTGACAATCAAATGTGACTGAGAATGTGAGAATCAAAATAATAAGCTTTTGACAATCGATTCTTGTTTATTTTGTTGTTGTGAAAATCGTTTCCTGATTACTTTCTTGCTGTGAAAATCGATCGTGATTACTTTCTTGCTGTGAAAATCAATCCTGGTCATTTTCATGCCGTGAAAATCAATTCATGTCTTGTTATCTCTTTTTTTTTTAACAGCAACATCTCTGAAAAAAGAATTTGTGATGTTTACATTACTTGCTGAATATTACATACACTCTCTATATGATATTTACGTGTTGGAAATCACATTATACTCTTATATTATATGAATTTTTATGAACATGAAAATGTCCTGACCTATTTTAACCGAGTGAAAAGATTCCTACGGAGATTTTAAAGATGAATTCATTAAGTCAAGTCGAAAAGTTCAAAGCTTTGACCAAGATAAGAAGTGATCCTATAGACGTACAATACTTTTGGCAAATTGAAGAAGGTGATAGAGATGTTTGGGTCAAATACATTTTGGAATGGTAGTATTATTAATTAGGATGTTTATTATGATGTTAATTCGTATTTTGGATTTTTAAGTTCTTTTGGGATGTTTATTAGGATGTTAATTCGCATTTGATAGGGATGTATCAAAATATTGTTATGTTTTTTGGTAACGTCATTATGCTGCAAAGTGGAATGACTTTAAGTTATGATGTTTATTAACATGATTTTCGTAATGTTGACATGGATGTTCAATCAATAAATTAAAATTTTACAATTTTAATAATTTATTTAATATATGTTTACATATAACTTATAAAACAAAATAAAATTAAGCAAAACAGACAAAATGACAATTATGTCATTTTACATGAACTACAATTTTATTTTCTGTGAACAGAAAAGAATCTGGAATTAATTCCAATTTCATTTCCTACCAATCAAACAGCACATGAAATTTGATTCATATTCCCACGTATTTTTTTTCCAATTTCAATTCTAATTTTTCAGCAATATCTACGAATCAAACAACATCTGATTATGACATATCTCGTTATCCTGGTAACGTAGCTCAACAGAAGTTAGTTAAAGAAAAACAAAACCAATCGATTTTTTTTTAATATATAAAAATGAAATTATGTTAAAAGATGATGCGATGAAGGGATGATAATTTTTTTGGGTTATAAAACCGATGCACTCTGAAAAACAAAGTTTGATACATATTACCGCCCATACTCGAGTATCATGACGTCACGCATAAGAATGGAAGGAGATGCCAGAATGCACCCACTCTATTCATGCATGTCCGCCACGTATCACTTCCATGGACAATGCGCAGAACTCACTCATCCACATCAAGTTTGTTCCTACGCGCCAATTTGACGAGATCGAGACCTATAAAAGCAAATTTGCTCATGTAAGAACTTGAACAATATATAAGATTACTATGGATAAGAAGAAACATCTATCTACCATTGCTAACAGCGTTCTTCAGCGATGTGCTGTGTATGTAATTTACTGATTACCTGAGGAAATAGATCGAAATTTAATTTTGATGTAGAGCTGGACTTGTTTGCAGGAGATTGGAGAGGTCAGTGAACGAATTAGTGGGAGAATTCGAGAGCGTATGGAAGCCGGATATGGGAGGATACTCGAGGAAATTAATGGAGTATTGTGCCGCTAAGGTGCTCAACGAAATCTGCAGGAACCTCGAAGAAGCGATTACGGAAGGAACTTTCAATCGGTTCACCTTCGACATGATGCTTGCTTGGGAAACACCTAGTTCTGCCCATGAAGAGTCTCATAGGGTACGCATGAATCATGATTTTCATTTTTATTCTTATTATTGTTTAATTCGTTATACTTTGGGGGCAAAATCATGCTCAATTTTCCAAAAACTTCTGATACCTTATCATTTAATCTTATAACAAGATCAGTGTAATAGTGAATTAGCATTCGTGTTATTAATCCCGTTGCTTATTAACCATATCATTCCTTAAAATAGTAACGATTCGTTCTAAAACACACTGGCAAATCTTCAATTGCTCATTTTGCATTCAGGAGTATGTGGCCAAGGAGAAAGAAGACATGAGGGAAATACCTGAAACTGTCAAATCGACAAATGAGCAGGATGACATCTCTCTGTTCTACTCAGACATCATGCCATTGCTTGTACAGCAATTTTTTACTTTCATCTAGTGTTTAAACAATAATAATCTGGTGAGTTGGTATTCTGAATTTTTGATATGCTGTAGGTTGATAATGAACCAAGTGTCGGAGATGATGCATTCGTGTGGTTGGCATCATCAGTTCCTTTAGTCGCCGATTTCGTTAATGGAAGATTCACTTTCGAGACGCTAACGATATCCACAGCAAACCGTTTACATTTCCCTGCCTACGACATATTCATTAAAGAAATCGACAAGTAATCATTTTC